AGCCATTGCCGGGCTGGGAAAGGGACAGGGGATGGGCCTGGCGGGATGCAATCGGGGCAGGGGGCGCAAAGTGGAGAAGAATTCAGACAGGCAGGGCCAAGGCCAGAGCAGGCTCTCTCGACACGGCCCAGAGGGGTGGTGGTACCGCAGTGATCACACACGGTACCTGAGGGAGCGTGGTGGGGTTGGGGGGCAGCCAGGACCCTTGGCCTGGTGGGCAGTGGTGGCAGCAGTGGGATGGCAGCCCCTGCACCAGCACTGGAACAGGGGGAGAGGGGGGCAAGGGGGAGGCTGCTGGGATTTAGAAGCCCACGTGCTCGTAGCTCTGGCGCTCTTATTGCTGCTGAGTTGCCAAGCTGGGGGCGCGAGAGGCCTTCGCTGGCCGTCCCCCGCAGACCATGGGCATGGGGCAGGAGAGGAAGGGGGGGGCGTAATGCCCGGGGAGCTGCCACTCTGCGAGACTATGGCAGTTCTGCTGCCCGCTGCCCAGGGAGATACTGCATCTTTGACTGAACGCCCCTGCCTGCCCCCGCCCCCCTCCCTCTAATCCGACTTGTCCCCGTCGTCGTCCTGGTGGGCGTCCCCATCGTGGCCATTCTTGTCCTCCTTGGAGAGGTGAGCCTGAGAGCCCAGGGCCGAGAGTGAGAGGAGCCCAGTGCCAGCACTGACGGCTGGCAGGGACGGGGGCTGCAGCCCCACAGGCAGCGGAGTCAGGGGCAGTGCCAGGGCCTGGAGCTGCGACAGCTGGTGAGCTTGGAGCTGCTGCTGTAGGGAACGAGGGACAGACAGACAGCCGGGAGAGGACGGGTGTCACCCAGGAAGCACGCGGACCTTCCCGCGGGACGGACATCCCAAGCTCCGAGGCGTCGGGAGCTAACGCAGGGGCCTAGGAAGCCGGAGCTCTTGTCCCTGCCATAGCCAGGCTGGGGCTCAGTTGGCCCACCCCACCGCCCTGTGCCCAGCTAAGGGATTTGCCCTCAATGTCAGGGTGCCCCCCCTCAACATGCATCACGTACGCGGATGATGGAGTTGAGCTCCGGTGCTGTCACTTGCTTGGCCCGCTCAATGGCTCCCAGGACCTGCTGCTGGTGCTGGAGACAGGAGGAAGAGACACGGGGCTTCAGGGAGTCAACTCCGAGCAAGGAGGGCTGGCAAAATAACCCCTCCCCTGCCAGGGCTAATCCCCATGCCAGGAGGCAGCTGAGATTGGTACACGCCAAGCCCTGATCTCCAGAGCCCGAGGGGGTTCATGCGGGGAGTGCACCTAGAGGCCTGTCCCCCATATCGGGCTGCCCCACATGGCACTGGGATCCCTGCCCTGACTGCAGGCCCAGGGTACTTAAAAGGAGTCAGACGGGAGCAGAAAGGCCGTGGGCCCATGTGGGATCGGGCCCCTTTTAGCTGCAGTGCCCCCACCCTGGGAAGGGAAGAAGCAAGGAATGCACTTACCTCTTGGGAAAGGTAGGGCAGGACTTGAGCACAAATCCCATTTAACCGCTTGACGATTTCAGCCTGGAGGCGAGAGAGAAAGGGGAGTGGGTCAGGAGACAGGGAGCAGAGGTTGCAACAAGGAACGTCCCCACCCGCTTGCAAACAGGACTCGGAGTCTGGGCGGCAGCTGGGGTGGGAAGAGCCCAGCATGAGACACAGAGGGAGAATCAAGGTCGCGATGCCCTGCCAAGCAGGGCTGGCGAGTCCTCGCAGGCCCAGAAGGCAGCAGAGCGGGGCTGGGTTTCCCAGGGATGAGGTGTCCTCTGCCCCAGCCCACCCACACCGCTGCAGGCAGAGGCAGGGACTGGAAGCATGGATCCGCTCAGGGGAAACAAAGTGAGCGCAAAGGAAACTCGCTTTATGGCTGTCGAGGGAGCCATTAGAGGCTGTGATGCTTCCCCAAGGCAGCCATGAAGTGTGGGGAGGGGCAGTGGGAAACAATGCAGGAGCTGCCTGGTTCCTCCCGCCCCACTGCGGACTCACCTGTTTGTGCATCTCGATGTTGAGCCCGTACGACATCTCATAGTACTGGAGGGAGGGAGAGAGAGAGACAGACAGTAATCCCGAGAGCATTGGACCAGGCCTGCGGCCAAGGGCAGAATCTCCCCGCTGCCTACCCTTGGCTTTGGCTGCACTGGGGGTGGTTACAGGACACCCCTTGGGAAGGCAAGCTGCTCTGCTCCCAGCACCAGCTGGGGGAATGCCTGGAGGGTCAAGGGTTTAAGTGCCTCTTCCCGAGCCCTGGGGCTGGAATTTCACTGACATTCAGGTGGACCCACGTGAGAGCAAACCACAGCCTGTGCTGCTTGCTCCTTGCCGGCTTGGTCTGTGCGCATCACATCACAACGCAGGCCCCGGATCAATACTCGCGTTTGCTTGCAAGGGTCTCCTGCATTTTTATACTAAGCAGCACAGCAGCCCCCCCCTTCTCCTCCCCAGGCTAACTGGTGCTTATTCAGAGGCCTGACAGATACAGCCATTAGCAGCATCAGAAGAGAAACCCAGCTATTCGCTTCTTGCTGGACAGCGAGGACAGGGCTCCATGTGACAGGGTTAAAGACTACTAGCTACATAGCCTGGTGGCTGCAGGGCAAGGACTGACCCACTGGCATGGGCGCATGCAGCGCCTAGCACAACTGGCCAGGGCCTGCAACAGAGGCTCTTTGGTCCTACCAGAATATGGACACCAATCTGTAGAAATCCTCTCCCTCCAGTCCCCCCACCGGTGGAAGGGGAAAACTGGGGCACCCCAGCACCAGGCCCTTTAGGGAAAGCCCCAGCCTCTCACACTGAGCTCAGCCTTCATGAGCCCCTCCAAGGTTGCGGAGAGAAACGCGGCCCAGACTGTACTGCATGGGACCGGCTCAGGGGCCCGGGGGTCGGCAGGGACAAGGGCAGCGGCTAGGTGGTTTTGTCCCCACCCAGGCTCAGGCTGCTTTCCATCCTGGCATCTCCCCAGCTCATGCTAGACCCGCCTCGCAAGCCCCGGCTCTGTGCAATCGGCCTCCCCCTCCTTATCCAGGTAGCAGCCGTTGCTGCCTGGGATTTCAGCCGAGGTGGGGGAAGGGCTGCCCGATGGATGGGGGAGGGGTCTGCCCCTTTCATTTCTGCCTTGAAATTCATCATTCTTCCCAGCAGAGGCTCTGAATTAATTCCCACCTCTTATCTCCTCCGCCCAGGGCAGGTGCTGGAGCTGCTGCCTGGCTCCTGCTCACCTCTATGGATGAAACCTCCCTGTTCACTCTTCGCTAGGGTGGCTCTGGATGGCGCAGTGGTGAGCATTTGAGGGGAACCACCCCCCATGCCCAGCTCAGGAGCCTGCACAGATGCTCCCGATGCCAGAGCCCCCTTAGCACGACCCAAAGGCACTCACCTGGCACACGTGCACCTAGCAGGCTGATATGCCGAGATGGCTCACCCGATTTGCACCCATGGTCCCCAGTGAAAATCCAGGCACTGCTTCCCCTATGATAGCACCATCTCCAAGGATCTCACTAGACGTTACCAACCTGCCGAGCTAAAGCCTCAGCGCTCTGCATCGGTTAGGCAGGCGCTGTCCTATCCCCCCACCCCCCACAACACAAAGATCCAGGTTGCACGGTGAATCACTAGCACAGCCAGGAATCAAACCCAGGTTGCCCATCTGAGCTCACACCACTACACTGCCCTGGGTCTCCCGCAGACACCCCTACAGCCAGGACCCCCACGCCAGCCCCGGGTGGTCTGGGGATGCTACCAGGCCTGACATCACCCACTGCTGGTACCCTTGGGTCTCAAAAACCCCTCCTTGCCCATGTCGCAACCATCACTGGCTGCGATGCCAAGCGGCATTGGCAGCTCCTGCAGGAAACCTGTGCCCCGCAGGCTCACTGGGGCCCTACAGCAACTCCATATTCCCAGCTGGGCCCGTACTCATAATTCTGAGTACGTTCCCCCCAGCCACCTCCTCTCTGCTGGGCCAGTCAGCACGGGATCCCCTATCCAGAGAGTCCTGATCCTGCCAAGAGACACAGTGCAGCTCTCGCACCCTAACCAGTGACATAGCAGGTGCATGGGGAAGGGGGAGAGGAAATGACCTCTGTTTGCAACCTGCAAAGTTGGAAAGCCCCGTTTCAAACAAATCCGAGACAGGTCTTGCTTCCGCTGGGTGCAGGGGAGGGGGAAGGGAAGAACACCTTCCATCAGATGTACCCAGGCACCAGCATCCTGCTCCACCAGCCTGCCCCACATCCCATCACACAGAGCCCGCCGTTGCCCCCTGCCACCGGGGCAGGGCCTTACCATGACGTAGTGACGCTGCATCTCCGATTTCTCGCTGGCCAGCTTATCGCATTCCAGCTTCAAGCTGAAAGAGCAGAGAGAGATGGGAGCACCGAGAGCCAGGCCTGCCACCAACTCCCCTTGTCGCCAGCCGTTTCCTGCGGGCTTGTACAGCACCTAGCACGACGGCTATCGCACTTGGTCGACCCCTAGATACTATTGCAAGACTAAACAATTTGGGGCTTTTTGTACAGCACCTAGCACCGTGGTCCATGACCGATGCTCGTAGATAGAAGAATTAAGACCACGCTAATGACACCAGCCACGAGGTCTTCCAAAAAGCTACCCAAGAGCTAATCTTCCATCTTCTGGAACAGAAAAGGCAGGAAGGAGGAAGAGTTTGACTTCTTGTCTATGGGAAAGGCTTGGGTCTGATCCCAAGCAGAGTCAGGGGTCATAGGGCCATAACACAGGTCCGACTGCAATGTCTGAGAAACGCTCGTGCTATTAATAAGTCAGACACGTAACGAGGACTACGGCACAGCTGCAAGGCCAGTGCTGCGCACCTCTCCCAACAGGTTTTGTGGTGCTCTGCGGGAAAGCAACAGGAGCTCAAACATCCCTGAAAATAAAAATGAAAAAAGAGCACGAAAAGTAGTATCTTCTGTTATTTAAATGTAATGAACCAGGTGATTTTTGGCAGTTGGGAGCTCAGCCATCATATGCCAGGGGTGGGGGGGGGGGGTTGGGTTTCCACCAAAAACCCGCTTTGCTCGCACAGAACCCGTTTCTCTTTCAGCAGATTAAACCCAGCAAATGTCTCCCACTGAAAGACGGTGACTGCGGATATGTTGCTAGTGCTCCTGCGCCCCGCAGCTGGCACGGCTTCAGAGCAGAGGCACGCGGGAAAGTCGGCCCTTCC